TTGGCGGGCGATGCATGCATAGCAGGATACGAGTATCCTGTTTACGCTTCCGGTCTCGCTTAGTTTGGAATTTATGTGAATCCCACAGGTTTAGTTTGTTACTTTCTCTCTTCCAAATCGTTTTACCAGGTTGAACATCGGTAAATTACTATCGCCTGGATTAATCACAGAGTTATTTTAATAATATTTTATGTAATGTTTTTACATTGTCTGCAGTGTGTTAGTCCTGGTCGATTTGGTAGTCAAACTCATCAGTAAAAGACAAACTGACGCCTTAACAAAAAACAAAAATCGACGAAAAGAAAAGCTAAATTCTGTAAATCATAACATAAAAAACTTAAGACTGACAAGCACGAGTACAGCTTTGTTTTGAATTTACCGGACATAGGCGTTCTTTGTCATAAATCTATTACTGAGAGTTTGACTTTGTTATCATTAATTCTAAAATATGTTATTAATGAATAATGAATTTCTTTTATCTAACAACTTTTTAACATTGTTTGATTGGTTTGAATAATAAAAGCTAGTTCCCAATTTGTTTTCGTCTGACCAAAATCGTCAATATGTAACTTATAATATGAGAAATGTTTATGATATGTTTGCAATTTTTCCAACCTTTGTTTTAGTTACTATAAACTTGATTAATAACAGAATAACTAAAAATGAATTCAATTATAGAACTAGATTCAACTAATGACCGAACATCATATTTATTCACGGATGTGCGCAGCGCATGCATTAATTATCAGGTTTTTTTTTCTATATTTGAATGCATTGATTAGTTATTCATTTGATTAAATTGACAATGGGCTTTTTAATGGAGTTGAAGTAGAAAATGCAAGGATCTTTTTCAACGCATTCGGAGTCTGTTTTGATTCTACGTCATCGACAACGTCTGGACAACACATATTGTTGTATGACGTCAGAGGAGTGAAGTAATCGAGTTTATTTCACATGTGAAATTATCTTTTTTATTTTCCTTGGAAATCAAGGTAGTTCATTGCAACCCATGTAATAAACTGTATTATTTTCATAACTGCATAAGCAAAGTAGGTTATATTTAACAAAAAGGAGATTTCAAAGATATAAAAAATGTTTACGTCAAAAATCTTAAAATGCAAATTCTAAAGGATGAATGTTCTTTTAAAAAGCTTTGAAACAACCCATTATTAAAATCTGATATCTTTTATTTTTTCCCTTTAAATGATAACCTGTTTGTAAAATATGAACTTTTGAAATATTTATCGTTAAATGTAAAGTTATGTATACATTACAATTACGACTAATGGACTCATTACTATGTTTAATAGACCCATGGTAAACATGTGTCTTTGTAAAGGAAAAATTAAAACTGATTCTGTTTCTTTATATGTTAAAAAAAAAGAGGCGAGATATGTCAAAGGGATAATCAAACTCAAAAATCGAAAACGAACTGACAATGTCATGGCAAAAACAAACAAAAAACGGCTATAAGACAAACATCAATATACAAAACACAACATACAAAAATAAGACTGAGCAACACAAATCATTAACTAGTATACAGGGGAATTATAAAAATAAGAAGATGTGGTATAAGTTATATAGATACAATGGATAAGCGTGGATTCTTGAAAAAGAAACCATGAGCCCGGAGGGCGAATGGTTTGTTTTTCATTAATCTACGCTTATCCATTGTATCTATAACTTAAACTATTGTGTTAATTTCTTTTCAAAATTAAAGCCTTTTCTTAATTATAAGGTATTGTAAGTGAGTTTAAATAACCATGTTATCGTGTCCAATGATGCATTGATAAATCTCAGATCACAATTAATTGGTAAACAAAATACAAATATAACACCTATACCTTTAAAGATCTTTATATTACTAGGCATATGAATGTTATTTGTTTATACAAAATAAGACATATTCGAAATTATTTCTAATAAAATTGAAAATGGAAATGGGGAACGTGTCAAAGAGACAATAACCCGACCAAAAAGTATATGTATATGTATAAAGTATATATAATAAGTATGTTATCGAAATTTTTGTAGCACTCTAGGCACATCAAGATTTTCTCGCATAGGAATTTGCGAACAAACCTTTGTAAAATTATGTAGTAAAACAGATGAAATCATACTATATTTATAAAACAAAAATTGACAAATAGAATATAATCATTTTTGTTTCAAACATGTGAAATAGCCAATAATAATAAAAAAAAACCGGTAAACTCGCCATTATTACAAAAATATCCACTATAACATGCAAAATTAGAAAAAAAACAGGATAACTTAAGAATTGGAACAACAGAGAGAATACAGGAATTCGAACCTAAACCGACAAATCCCTATCTTTAACTCATTGATTTTTACCATGCTAACCTCGCGGCTACCAACTCATACTATACGACTGCCTATTGTGTTTATATAAAGGTACAAGCCCTGTGTGTCCGATGAACCGATGTATATCAGATGTTCATTTAAATATATAAAATAGACATCTATAGTGTAACCCATTGGTAGCCGAGAGGTTTCGTCGATGTGTTGATGTCAGTCACACATAACAGATTTCAAGGAAGGGTTCGATCCCCAGTGAAGGCATATAAAAAATACAAAAATAAAAGGTAAGTTTTTAAATTAATTCCATTAGTGAACAGAAATCAGTTAATCAGCCAATTCAAACTTAATGAAATTAGGCACACAAAGGAAACAATAGAATATAATTTGGTGAGCCAATTTCAGCGGCAGATTTAGGAAGCGTTGATTCTAGAAAAAGAATCCACGGTAAATGAATAGGCTGACGTCACCACAATGGTTTAATTGCCAATGAGACAACTCTCCACAAGGGACCAAATGACACAGAAATTAACAACTACAGGTCACCGTACGGTCTTCAACAATGAGAAATGCCAATACCACATAGTCAGCTATAAAAGACCTTGAAATGACAAATGTAAAACAATTCAAACGAGAAAATTAAAAACCTAATTTATGTACAAAATTATATACGAAAAACAAAAATGTTACACATTAACCAACGCCAACTAGTGAATTGCAGGCTCCTGACTTGTGACAGGCACATGCAGAATATGGCGGGGTTAAACTAGTTTGATGGCGCCAACCCTCCCCTGACTTGGGACAGTGGTGTAAAAGATGGACGAAAGATACCAGAGGGACAGTCAAACTCATAGATCGAAAACAAACTGACAACGTCATGGCCAAAAATAAAAAGACAATCAGACAAATAATAGTACAGATGACACAACATGGGGGTGATCTCAGGTGCTCCGGAAGGGTAAGCAGATCCTGCTCCACATGTGGCACTCGTCGAGTTGCTTATGTTATTACAAATCCGGTAAATAATCTAATTCGGTAAGTCACATTCGTGAAAAGGGAAGGGTATTGTAGTTACGACATAAGGAACATATCCGATATCATCTGTGAAACGGAAACTGTGTAACAGTACAATATAAGAATAAACTATAAAAATCAGTTGAAAAAGGCTTTGCTCATCAGACGGATACAAACAGAAATATATCTAACAAAAATACAGAGTGAACGTGGAAGGATAATAATACAAAATATAACACAACAAAGACACTAATCACCCCCAGTTTTTGGTGGGGTTCGTGTTGCTTAGTCTTTAGTTTTCTATGTTGTGTCATCTATACTATTATTTGTCTGTTTGTCTTTTTATTTTTGGCCATTGCGTTGTCAGTTTGTTTTCGATCTATGAGTTTGACTGTCCCTCTGGTATCTTTCGTCCCTCTTTTAAGTACAGATTTGAGAGTACTAGCACTACTGACAGCTAGGTCAAAGCCAATAACAACTAATAAAAACAAATCGTGCATCTAAGACTAAAATATCAATCACTACACATCCAACATCCAATGGCTTTAGTGTAAAGACGTCATTAACAGTCAGAGAAAAACATGATCTTATGCAATGCCAAAATACAGGTATCGACAGATTGTAGATCCATAAATGTGCATATGTATATAACAATAATATTAAGTTAGATTTTAATTCACTGATAACAAAATCAATATTGATACCAATAAAAACAATATTAAAAGATCTAATTACAGTGTTGAATTGGCAACCTTTTAGAATAAGTTTATTTAAAGGATCGATAAGTTTACCCGGATCATATTTAAATTTCCGGGCTAGGTAAACAATATCTCCGTAAAAAATAGGATGTGCTATGATGATCCCGTTTGAAAGTTTCAAAACCAATTCTGTATATCTATGGAAGAATTTAGTAAATGTTTTAAGTAATTTGTGGTAACGAAATCCCTGACTTAAAAATTTACCAGTAATACATAGATAACATTCATCGAAATCCAAAACGTCACAACAGACACGGGCATAGCGAACGAGTTGTGATATATAAACACCGTAAGATGGTGCCAAAGGCAAAGGAAAATCACCGTCCAAAACAGGAAAATTAACAATATGGTACGAAAAATCGTACCTTTGGTCGTTAATTTTAGTGTCGAGTTTCCCGTGTAAAACTGAAATATCTAAATCTAGGAAAGTACAGTTAGTTTCTTTATTCGTCTTTGAATTGTTTAAAGTGTTAAACGTTAGACACTTTAGTCTGTGTTCATGTTAAATGCTGGTCTCAAATATATATATAAACTTATCATAGATACCAGAGTTGTACGCCGGACTTTCGTGTACAAAAGTCTCATCAGTGACGATCAAATAGATAAAAAAGAAAATAATAATAATGATGTCCTATCATTTCAAAAAGCAAATAAAAAAGTTAAATAATTTTTATTAATAAAGAATTTGACCAAACCGTCAACTAGATCAAATAGAGTTTACTTGTTTTCTTTTAAATATTTTTTTGTTTGATAAATGTCAAACTAGTAATTGTACATTACTTCAATTTCACTATATACCTTTGATGGCATAATGTAGGACAAATGGATCACCTTCCTCAATGAAAAGACCCATGACGAAACATGTGACTTAGTCGAATAAAGATCATTTATTGTGACGATGTTTTGTAACCTTTACATGTCAATAATTTTAATATATAAATTGGGATTTTATTTCCATTTCACATCCTGGAATTACTAAAGTTGTAAGGTAACTATAACGTATTGCGTTCATTTTTTTTTGTCTGATACAGTTAATACATATATACAACAAGTTTTTTTGTTTTGTGTAACTTATGATTTAAAAATTTTAATATAAAGGAAACTTTCCCTATATCACACACACCCATAAATGATACTATTATTAATAGTAAACACAATGCAATGAACAATATCTTTCAATTATTTTTTTTTTTTTTTTGGTTTAAAGAAAAAAGCATTAAATATTTTGAATAATTTAAATGCCACACATTAATTAAAATGGAATTTAATTCTCAAGAATAACCATGGAAAAATAAAAAGATGAAAATATGATTACCAATGAGACAACTATCCGCCTGAGACCGAATGGCTTGGTTGTTAGCTATATAAATAAGAAGATGTGGTATGAGTGCCAATGAGACAACTTTCATCCAAATCACAATCTTTATAAAGTTAACAATTATAGGTCAAAGTACGGCCTTCAACACCAAACAGCAAGCTATTAAGGTCCCCAAAATAACTAATGTAAAACAATTCAAACAGGAAAACCAACGGTCTCATCTATATAAAAAAAAAGAGAAACGATAAACACCGATGAACCACACCAACAAACGACAACCACTGAACAACAGGCTCTTGATTTAGGACAGGTGCATAAAAATGCAGCGGGTTTTAACAGTGGCCAACCTTCACCCTAACCGGAGACAATACTATAACATTACAACATAAAAAGAAACACTATAAAATATCAATTGAAATGGCTTAATTTGATCAAAACGACATTTAAACAAAAACAAGGAAACATACACTGAACGAATACGTTTGAATAAGTATTGATCACTGTAAGGACTTCAACAATCAGAAAAAACAAACCGTAAAGTAAGCTATAAAGGAATCAATACACTATTTCATGGCGCTATTGTTTTTATTGATTCATGGATCAGCTTCCAGCAGTCACGACCGTTTTTGTTCATACGTTTGCATAACGTGATAGTACTTCTTGCCATATCATATTCCTTAGCCTGATTCCTACTGAAAACGTTAACATACTTTTAATTGCTCATTGGTTCCCGAAAGTCCAAAAGAACAAAAAACAAGCACTTCTGATCTGAGAAACAGACACAATTTGCATTGCTACGTTCATATAATACAACTTTCTTTTATTCCAAAGAAATATTCTACCAAAATAAAATAAATATTTTTGCTTTACTTAATTTCATTATATAATAAATTTCTAGCAATAAAATCCTCAAGAAGCTTTATACGAGACACTTTTTTACTGATATCAAGCTAAAACTGTGCTGGTAGTTTATATGGGTAATACAAAGCAAAATGCAAAAATTTGAAATATTTCCAGTTGTTGTTTGTGAATAATTTTTAAAATTTTCAATTTTCATATCTAGCAGCTTAAAAATTTGCTATACTATTAAAATTGCATTTAACTTGTTTGAAGGAACGAGTATACACATTGTACCAAATGACAAAGTCATAATATGACCTCAATATTTTTTCTAATATGAATAAGTCAGTATATATATTTTCATTGATTTCAATCCTAAAAAATGCAAAAACTAAAATTCCATGTTTTGTTCAATTATATGCATGGCAAATGGCCATAACAGGCTGAATACAATATTTTAGCAATTGAACGGCTATAAATTTGGTACCAATGGGATTTTGCAGCAAAGAAAGTTGAACTTAAACCGATTACTTACATAAAATGTGATCATTTTTTGAATGAAGAGTATATATTCTGATATTTAAATTTCTCAAGATTTTCAATAATAAAACCAATTCAGAGTGACATTCTTTTCAAGTCAAAACTATAACTTACCATGGCTTGTGGTGATCAATCCAACATACACAGGCAAAATTTGCTCACGTGAAAATTTTCATGTGAATTTCACGTGAATTGAGATTCACAAGAATTTCATGTGAAATTTCTCATGTGAATTTCATGTGAATTTTACAAAAAAAAAATTGGTATTTTTCATGATTTCAAATAAATTTGAAAATTTTTAGATGTTATTTGAATTACTTTATATTAAAAAAATCACATGAATTTCACGTGAAAGAAATTCATGTGATTTTTACGTGAAATTCGAGCGAGTTTCAAATGAGATTCACGTGAAACTCTCATGAACTGATTTCACGTGAGTTTCACTTATAAGCTCGTTTGAGGTAAAATTCACATAAGATTCACATGAATTTCAATAAGCGTGAAAATGATGTCAGTGAAATTTCCCTGTGTATAAGTGTGTTTTAATTGCATATATGAGAGCACTGGTTTCCAGATGTCCTAAAGTACAAAAACGGGTTCTTCTGATCTGAGTAACATGCAATATTCAATTTCAAACAACTTTTCTTAAAATAAAAATAGAATTTCGACAGCTCGACAGTGATCCAATGTCCTAACCCTTTCATTTCGGAGGAGCTGTTTTGTGGCGTGAAATACCTACTAAACTATATGTTCTCCCTGATAGGGTCTGATTTCCTTTGTTTGTGTTTGTTACCTTGATTTAACTTGAATTATCGATTTATGAGATTTGAACATGGGTAAACAACTGTTGCTTTAGATAAACTCATCATAGATACCAATATTGAAATTTTGTATTTGCGCCAAATGCGAGTTTCGTCTACAAAAGACTCATCAGTGACGCTCGAATAAAAAAACGAGTATTGCTTTCTTGTTTCTTAAAAAAGCAATTGAAAAATTACTTAGTTGGTAAATCAAATTTCAATTTCACTTTACTTATATTATAACTTATAGTAGGACTAATGAATCCTCTCCTGGATGATTAGACACATAATGAACTTGTTATGTAGGTCGTGTCCACTGGTTATTCGTTTTATGTAATAAAAACTGTGATAACATTGAATTGTTCTCACTGTTTTAATAACCTGTACATGAGATTTGTTCACACGAGTAACCAACGTGTAGGAATAATGTAAATATAAACATAAGGAACTGTGGTATGATTGCCAAAGTTTAAATGAAGTGCATGTAAGCCATTAAAGGCAACTAAATGTTCATTACGTAGAATTGAATTGAAAATGTCTCTGTTACGTACCGTTATAGCAGTTAGACGGAATTCATCTTTGGTGTGTGTGTGTGTGTGTGTGTGTGTGTGTGTAAAGGTGAAAAGGGGGGGGGTGAGAGGTCATGAAATAGAAGTTCCTTTATAATATAAGATCCAAATGTAAGAATCATTTTGTAATATTTTTCCTCTGGAACAAATATTCCAGTATATGTTTCTTACGGAATGATGATTATAGAATATTTATTCCTACCGGTATGAGAAACAGGAAAAATATGCCAGGAATTATTTTTTTCAAACAACTTTTTAATTGTTCAAAATAAACATTCAACAAGGACGCGGTAGTGAATCTTGTTCCTCTTGGTTTGGTTTTTTTAATACAGGAAATACCCTAATGTTTTACATACTAGAATTTTTTAAAGTAACAGATATGCAGAAGGAAATGTTTAATTCGAAATGTGTATTATTTCCTTATATTGTCTTCATGACCGTACTATAATAATATGTAAGATTATTTCCTACCGACAATTTTAAATGCAAATTCAAATGATTGGTTCTCATCGATAAAACAATGGAACAAACTGTAATTAAAATCGAGAATAGTGTACATGTTTTCTTCAAAATGAATTTTAGGAGTACAAAATTGTAGTTAGATATATTTTTACTTCACTAAACGTCTTTTATTACAAAAAGTAGGACAACTTCATCCTCTTCCTGGGTGATTAGACCCATGACGAACGTGACTCAATAGAATGAAAATCATTTATTGTGACGTTGTTTTTGTTCAACTTAAGTACATGTACATACAATGGGTTTTAACTTCCATTATTCAGCTTGAATTTATAAAATATGCAGGTATAATTTATATATTGTATAATTTGATATATAGTTCATAAAAGCCATTTATTTCCCTCTTTTGCATACCATAAATGTTTAATTTGAAATAATTGTAAGATGTCATTCATATCATTTTTATCTATCTTGAATGTTAAATATTAAACTGTTACATTCAGAATGACCATTTCTACTTTAATGCCACATTATTAAAAATGGAGCGAAAAGCGACAACCACTATATGACATAAAAGGGTATCAATGTTCTGCACAAGATGCGCATTTCGACAATAAATGTTATCACTGATGCTCGAAGCTAAATTATTTTAAAATCCAAAGATTATAAAAACAAAAACAAAAGAATAACAAAATAACTAAATAACTGGATCCTAATTTAGGATAAATTTATATAGAAAATGCCGCAAGGTCAAACATTGTCTCGAACACCCAACACTCCCCTAACTGTGACAGTTGTGGTAATGGTTAACATAAGAACAAACTGTAAAAATCAGTAAAAAAGACAAAACGACATAAAGAGCCGTTCTTAAAGTACTCGTAATTTCTAAAATGCTATATCGAACCCAATATCAACTGATAAATAAATCCCAGACTCAAGTTTGCTCATTTTCGGAGGAGTCAGATTTTGATAGTTGATGCTGTTGATTGGGCTCATGGTGATACTTGTATCATTGAAAATCATGCCACATCTCCTAATTCTAAATAGAAATATACATAAATTTTCAAGTAGTAGGTACATTAAGAATTCGTCATGACATGAACAGTTATTTGGAGTTTAATGTGACTAAAACAATAGTTTCTTTCAGATTTGTTTGTTAGTTAACTTTCTCATAAATGAACATGATGAATACTTTTGGTTTTTTTTAATTTCTACATTATATCGGTCAAGACAGTTACCATTCAATACCAACATATCACTTTTAATTGAAAATGCCAAGTGAGCGATACAGACTTAAGGTTTCTATCATGTGTATTAGTTCATACACAAAATTGTGAATAAATATATTGATTATTACTATTATTGAATATAACAGTTGAGTTAACTTACCGCTGAAAATTTATATCAAAAATTTCTTTTTTTTTATTTAGAATGAATGCATGGAGCCTAAATAGTGCAAAAAGTATGGATACTATCGATTTTTACAAAGTTTAAACGACGTTAACTGGCAAAACATAAGCTATAAACACCCAATAAAAAATGGCCGATAACACCACTTCTGACATAGAAGAGAGCTCTTTTGCACCACCAGAATTGGAACAACAAATTGCTGAAATACAAGCAAATAGTATGTTAAGCAACGGTAAGATAACTAACTCAAGAAATTAGTTTTATCAACTTTGTCAATTTAACATTTATAATGAACGATAGTTTAAGATTTCGGTGGGATAAGAGTCAATTATCAATGCGCTATTGTGTGATACCTAATCATTTGATATAAAATATTTTCGTATATATATAGGAGTTACACAAGAGGGGGTCAAATATGGAGCAGCATTTACTAACCCTTCCGGAGCACCTTAGAACACCACTGAGTTTTAGGAGATCGTGTTGCTAAGTCTTTAGTTTTCTATGTTGTTTTTTGTATACTACTGTATGTCTTTGGGTCTATATTTTTATTTGTCATGCCGTTGTTATATTAATTTTTCATTGACTCATGAGTTTAAAGTGCCCTTTGGTATCTTCCACCTCTCTTTGATAATTGGTTTTAATCAAAAGTTTATTCTAATTATTATTAGTACGATAAATGTTGAATAATGTGGACATTTGAACTTGCACCACAAGTGAGAAATCAATAAACGACAAGTGATATTTATAAACAAAATGATAAAAAAAAACAAAAAGAATTGTCCGAAGAGTTTCCACTAGAAAACCAATTTTGACAAGAAACAGTTATTTTGATCTGAACAGCTTTTAAAAGACAAACAAATATTTAGCCATGTTCCGTCTTACCGTAAAGGGGCAGACAGTACTGTTAATAGAATCGCTTGCAGCCAATTAAGATCTATTCAGTCTATGTTCATACTGTTCAGTAATAGTTGTTTTCCTGTACAAAACGACAACACGATGAAAAGCTTCTGAAAAGCTACCGAAAGAGGGACTAAAGATACCAGAGGGACAGTCAAACTCATAGATCGAAAACAAACTGACAACGCCATGGCCAAAAATAAATAGACAAACAGACAAATAATAGTACAGATGACACAACATAGAAAACTAAAGACTAAGCAACACGAACCCCACCAAAAACTGGGAGTGATCTTAGGTGCTCCGGAAGGGAAAGCAGATCCTGCTCCACATGTGGCTCCCGTTGTGTTGCTTATGTTATTACAAATCCGGTAAATAGTCTAATTCAGTAGATCACATTCGTGAAAAGGGAAGGGTATTCTAGTTACGACATAAGGAACATATCCGATATCATCTGTGAAACGGTTATTCCATAACGGTCAACCAACTCGTGATGGCGTCCGTAAAATTTACGAAGGGATGATTTCAACTTCACCATTTGGAACTCTTGGTTTAATAGCTTTCATGTGAGTAGCAATCCTCTATCAAGGAAATCATGATAGGAAATACAAGCCCGGGAATATCGTATCAATTGGGAGATATATACTCCGTATGCAGGGGCTGCTGGAATGTTGCTACATAGAAATGGAAAGTTCACAATTGGGAAGCTGAAATCATCTCTTTTGTCGTAAAGTTTTGTTTTCAACCGACCCTCATTGTCAATTTCTAGATGTAAGTCAAGATATGAGGCAGACTTAACTGTATCTGTAGTATCTTTTATCTCTAGTTCGATGGGATAGATTCGTTCAATATAGTCACCAAATTTTGTATTATTAAGTGAGAGAACATCATCTATATATCGAAACGTAAAGTTAAAGGATATTGCTAACTTCTTATCTTTCTTCCTAAGAAGTTTCTGTATGAAGTCAGCCTCGTAATAATAAAGAAACAAGTCGACAAGAAGAGGGGCACAATTAGTTCCCATTGGAATTCCGACAGTCTGTTGAAAAACACGTCCTCCAAACGTAAAAAATATGTTGTCAATAAAAAAATCAAGCATCTTGATAATGTCAGTTTCAGAGAATTTTTTATTTGAATCAGAGTGATTCTTTACAAAGTAGGATTTATCCCTCCCCAAGACAAGACACTTGTATCTACGTTCGCCATTCTTTTTAATGAAACAAAGTGATACCAACTCTTTCAATTTGTCTTTTAGTTTGGAAATGGGGAATACTTGTGTTAAGTGTAGAAAAGTCAAATGTTTTAATACTATTGAAAAGCTACTGAACAGTACTGAATTGACTGCAAGCCAACTGTCTGAACAGTTTTGAATTTACAGCAAGACAATAACTGAAATATAAAGTTAAGACTATATGTTTAAGGGTTCAGACTTTTCAGATGTCCTTAAATTTAAAATAACTCCTTCAGACTAAAATTCGTTCTCTCGTGCCAGTGCCCTTCCAGCACATCCCTTCAGTGGTCTATGAAATATAAGCAAAACTAAATTTGGATATACATAGATATAAGAAGATGTGGTATGAGTGCTAATGAGACAACTCTCCATCCAAGTCAAAATTTATAAAATTAAACCATTATAGGTCAAAGTACGGTCTTCATCACGGAGCCTTAGCTCACACCGAACAGTAAGCTATAAAGGGCCCCAAAAATGACTAGTGTAAAACCATTCAAACGGGAAAACCAACGGTCTAATCTATATAAAAAACAAGAAACGAGAAACTTAAAAGTCACGTGATAAGGAACATCAGTAATAAGTTAATTATTATTTGAATACAACTTCGTGTTAATTAAGCTTCACCAAAACATTAACTTAACTCTTTTCCAAAACGTTAGCCTGGTACGGGACGGTAGGTTAGTTGGATGAACCTAAAGAACAGATAACATAATGTCAATATACAATCGTAGGTGGTTCACAGTCATATTGATTATTTCGTCTTTTGGTACGTGAATTTTAATGGACATCATTGTTAATCATTAGATATAAAAAGAGGATTAGGTATGTTTGGCAACGAGACAACTTACCACAGAGACCTAATGAAATCGATTTAGGCAACTATATGTTTCGAGTATATCTATATCTATAACATGTTTGATTAATTCATTATATTATTTCCTTATTATTAATAATCATGATAATGATCGCAAACCACGAAGATAACAAACGTATTATTTATGTTAGAGTAATAAATAGTATACATTTTTTTTGTTTCCATGCATTAACTATTTCAAAATATTTAGAAACGAAATATTCGTTATTCTTATGTTATTTTCGTTAACACTAAGATTGTTTTACTGGTGTCTGTATTGCCCAATCATTGCTCAAATCTCTTGTTGTATCTCAAATGGCGAAACACTTGAATATTCTTGATAAGAGACATTAGTCATGATCGTCTTATGTAACAGGTCAGGAATATGACAGTTGTTTTCAATTCGTTCCGTTTGCTGATGAAGTCTAACGTTTGCATTTTGTCAATTTTTATTGACTCCCATTTTCTTTAATTTACCTTGGAGTTGGATATTTTAGTTACTTCTTTTTTAGTATATGTAAGTGCGAATATTTTGGACACAATTTACATTTTTGTATAACACAATGCTGTTTTGTAGGTCCTGTTCATGATTTGGATGAGCATCAGAAAATATGGCTGGTCATTGGTATATGTCTACACAATATTATCACGCCTATTTTAAGGAAGTATGTTGAATCCGTCATGACGTCACTTTACACCTCACTGGTCAAATTAGACCAGATCAATACACAGACCTATCCACGACATCTTAGGGGTCATCCTCGCCAAGGAGTTCATATCTATTATCTGAACTACGACTGCATTAATAACAATAAAGCGCTCGGTCGACAAAACCATTTGTATGACTACAAAGTTCAGAATGCTATAGATTTATCGAAATTATTTTTGCTTTCAAATATGACACAGTATAATGGTTTTGACGATACATGCGATGCCTCAGTGTTACTTGGAATTGTCAAAAATGTAGACGGATTTCATTCTGGAGTCAAGGCTACTGCAGCAAGGGTAAGTCTAATTGCAACAAAATCAAACTTTAATTAAGACGAAATATGTAGTTTTAAAAGTTTCTTTGACATAAGCCTGATTCATCAACTTTCAGCGTAGACACTGGTGACGTTTTATAAAGTCTGAGTAGTATCTGCAAGCTCTTGAATATCAAATGATTTGGAAAATGTCTATCCCATATGCAGGTGAAGTTGGTATATTGCTGCTGAGGTGGGCGAAATTTGTAATTTCAAAAATAAAATGAATTTTAGTCTAGATCTGAAACGGTATTTTTTATCTCAACAGCTCTTAAAAAGTTAAATAAAAAAAATACTGAGCTCCGAGGAAAATCCAAAAAAGTCCCTGATCAAATGGCAAAATCAAAAGCACAAACACATCAAACGAATGGCCAACAACTGTCATATTCCTGACTTGGTACAGGCATTTTCTTATGTAGAAAATGGTGGATTGAACCTGGTTTTATAGCGCTAAACCTCTCACTTGTATAACAGTCGCATCAAATTTCATTATATTGACAACGATGCGTGAACAAAATATCACAAATAGGGGTACAACAACAACACGAACTCCACCAAAAATGGGGTTGATTTCAGGTGATCCGGAATGGTAAGCAGATCCTTCTCCACATGTGGCACCCGTCGTCGTAAAGATAGATTAATAACTATTCAGTTTTTAAGACTTATTAACTGTGGTAAATTCAGTTCTGTTCAGTCCTTTCGCGTGCAGTCAACTAAGATATGTTCAGTCTATATTCCAAATGTTCAGTAGTTTTTATTTACCAGTACAGACAAACAACATACTGAACCGTCTGAAAAATTCCTGAACAGAACTGTATTGACTGCAAGCAAATTGTTTGAACCGTACTGAATTAATCGTATTTTATTAACAGAAAATTTACTAAAAATGTTAACATGAATTAATAATGTATTGTTTAGTCCTTTCAGACGATGTTAAGATCAAAACGACAGTTTCAGACTAAAAATTTTTGACAAGTTATCGACAGTAAAAAGCGCCATTTTAATGAGATACTATCTGAATTTGAAGCGTTCAAGTAACGAAATAAACTCAAGTTTGATTTTGTTATTTCGATTGACGTAATTTTTTGGGGAATTTTCAGTATATCATACGAATTTTGTAATTACAGATAAGATCTGAAATCAGAAATCCCTGGGCACATTGTGATTTTACACAATGGAATGCTACGAGATATTCACTGTCATTCAAGTTGATGGAAAACCTAATTACAAATTTGGGCCTGAGTTCTTCCGACGAAAAGCAGACGTTGGACCAACTTATCATATGGAAAACAAATGGTAATATGTTAAGTAGTTTATGATATCTATTGTCATATGGTGATTTGTCAGATTTCGGATCACCTTTTTATTTTGTTTTGTTTAACTTGAATATAACTTAGAATATAATGAAGATCAGATGAAAATTATAAAAGCAAATATCAAATATTGTTTTTGAAGATTTCTATAAACGCAAAGTATCTAATTGTGAAATAAGGACTTTTTCTATAAAAAAAAAACAAAAAAAAACAGAAAATTATGCTCCAATTAGTTTTGCTCATCATTGAAGGTGAATACCATCGTTGTTTTCCCCTATTAGTCTTTGTTAAATTGGCACTTTTCAAAAAATTGTGCAGTATTTATCTTTGTTTCAAATAAAGAAATACTTGGTATGAGTAAACTTTTATCCTGTCCAGTACTACAGACAAAATTTCACATAACATTTCATTGCATATAAGATAATAATCATCACTGGAAATTAACCAATCAAATTTTCACCCCTATTTTTCCTGTGTTCAAGCTTAAGTAATCATGTAACCTCAAGTTTCCAAAATATTCTATAGAAACACCACAGAAAAAAGAATGGTGTTTTGAAACACCCAATATATATGTTTATGACTCAGAAATGTTTGACTTTGAAATGTATGATTAATTTTCTACAACTGTCAAATTCAAGGGAAAATTTTTTGGACCCTCTTTTGTATGCAACCGGATGTGACGTACATGTACTACGATTAGGTGGTATTACACCTGAATGCTGCCGTACAGTGGCCTATAATATTTTAAATCTTCTTCTTGTAATTTTTGGCAGATAGTTGTCTCATTTATTTACCACAAATCTTTATTCTTATATCAATATTTGTTTTTTAACAGCCCCATTTAACAGGTACGTAAAGGTAATTTTTCTATATATGGTGCAGTATGACAGTTTATCATAGTTCCGTTATATTGACAAAATTGGGTGAGCAACCTTAACAGAAATAATAGGTAAATGTGACTTATATACCTACATGGAGTTTTTCTCTTTCAGAACGATAGGTCTTTCTTTTGAAGAATCAACCCAGACGGTACCAAGTTTCAATGAAATTTGCTTCAAGGCATAAAATAATGACCTTTATAAGGTCATTATTTTCCTGATTTAAAAAATACTATAGTTTACTTAAACATTTAATTCGTTTGATAGTGTGTTGTTGCCAATATGGGCTTTAACTTTTTAATATCCATCTTTGGTAGGTTTAAGGTAGAAACAATCCTTTCCTCCGTTTATTGGACTGAAATTCTAAAAATCGTCGTTGACGCACATTTTAACTTTCGAAACAAAAATGTAAAGTTTTGTTTATTTATCGCTAAAATAAAGGGACATTATGTGAGATAAATTTAATAACATAACATTTTTTATAACACTTTAAAACAAGCCAGATTTAACACATTCGTGTGTAGGATTTTGAAAATTTTATTGATTCAGACTGTATTGGAAATTATACTTTGACCTATTGATACTCGTTTTTCGTATTACATGTACATGTATCACGATTTCGTGCTCTCTTTATGACATTTCTTATTTTTTTACATTCTATATATACCTTTTACTCTATCTAATGATTAAATGACCGAATATTCTTATTTTCTATAGAATAACACCCACGTATTTTAAAATTGGGGAGGGGGTATAATATTTAATCCTGATTCTGAGTTTTAAAAAAAAGTTGTATTGCCAGACAAAAGAGAGAAAACAATTATTCTGAATAGTTTATTAGAAAAATTGTTGAAAAATCAATCTGCTTTTCCGCGATAAAACTGACATAAAAAACCTACTAATCCCCTTTCATAAACAAAATTGATACAACAAAAAAATACTTACAAAGTGACTTGTATTTTTCATACACCGTAACAATTCATTTGTGTCTTGCTTCATGCAGTTATAGTAACAAAATTTCTAAAGTCTATATCTAGATTAATTGGTGAGTTTTATTTAACATTATAAATGAGCCGCAGGCCGTATTACAACCTAACATATCAGAAAAGAATATTCCACTTTAATGTAGTCGGTAAAATAGGATAGAAATAATGCAAGTCTTTGTAGAAAATAATATTATTAATTCGTATATTTTAACTAATTTGATTCGTTCAGGGATAGTCACATGTTAAACTATATTTTCGAAGGTAGAGAGAAAACGGCGGATAGCAAAAAGCATATTGCACGGTTATTTTTAGAATATCTAAAAACCGATATACTTTGTGACGTCATGTTATGAATTTCATGATATTGTTAAAAGTTTTATAAAAAAAATATCTATGATCGATTATTTGAAGAAAAAAAATCTTCAAATACATAACATGTAAAAAAAAACATCAAAAAAGTAAATGAAATAACAACTAATCTGTTGTTATTGTCTAGAAGACAATATGATATCTATAGAATTACAACAAAATCAAATGACGATTTTGATACAAATATGGTCGGAAATTAATAATATAACAATTATAGCCTATTTATGAGGTCAATACAGGATATATCGACCCAAAGAAGTATATCGACCTCGGACTTCGTCCTCAGTCAATATACTTCTTTCAGGTCAATATATCCTTGTATCGACCTCCTACAAAGGCTATAATTGTATAATATTTTTTGACGGTTTATAAGTCAGATAATGCATATTTTAAGGTGTTTCTTGTCGTATAACACACCTCGGTCGGTCGGTCTTTTATTTGGTCAATCCTGACACCCCTCGGTGTTTTATACGGCAAGAAAAACCTTAAAATATGCATTATCTATAACATAATTTGGATCCTTGTTTTTGTTGGAAATATAATATGTTTACATTACAAAGCGAAAGAAAAATGTATTTGTATCATAGAAAAACACATGTATATTGTATATTTATATCAAAACTTGTATTTATCTTATTGTTTTAGGAGTAAGCTTTTTGTCAGGAACAACTCTCGGTTTGGAACATGTCAAAGACATTCATGAACAAACATGTGTTCTAGCTAAACATGCACAAGTATTGTCAGTGCAGTGTAAAGAAATCGATATGCATTGTCATGAAATTGATATGCAAATTGTTGATGTAAACAATACTCTAGATGAATGGGAAAACGTACTCCAGGTGTTAACCCACATGAAGACCAAATTTGAAGACAAAATCAACATCTTGGAAAAACATGTTTTTGAAATGAATTCTGTAAGTTACACTGGTAAAATGTTTACACCAATAACAAGGCGTACGTAGCTTTGACTTCCAATTTTACCTCGGAAAGTTGTGAAACGACACAACAAATGAAACACTGTTAAAATCAGTTGGAAAGGACTTGAGTTATCCGATCGGTACTAAGCACGAAAACATACAACTAAAAGATAGAGGTCATAAAGTACTGATCTTGATTTTACGAAAGTTGATTCAGAATCAATTTTAAACACTTGAATAAACCATTTCCCCGAGAATAAATGTATAAATGGTACACCTCCGACCAATTAAGTGTAAAGACGTCGTAAAGATTCTGAGTAAATAACATAACCAATTACATACCAAAATATTAAGATCGACAGGATGTAGTACAATAAATGGTCATTCCTAGGTTGAAGTACATGTTAAGTTAGTCATTTAATTATTTAAAATAAAATCAAAAGAATAGCAGATAAAGAGAGTATTCAAAGATTTTATTACAATGCTAAATTGATAAGCTTAAGAATGATTTAATGTTGTTTAAAACAATCATAAAAATTAGTTCATACCTTAGTTTGCTACTTTTACAAACAATTTAAATGTAAAACTAAAGATTTTTGGACACTTTCCTTTAGTATCTTTACAGGAACATCCAAACTTCCGACTTCCGAATCAGATATTTTTATCAATGAAAAAAAAAAGATTTAATGTAATTTGTGGAGATAAAATCCCTGACTTAATCATATATATGCGAGAAGAGGAAGATAAAAAAGTGATATTCGAACTCACAAGCCAATGGCATGCTGACATGTAAAACGTCAAGGGAACAAAAATTACGTTAATTACAATCTAAAGCATTCCTGTCGACTCGGGCTTAGCAAACGATTCGATTTGAGGACGTTTACTTATCTCAGTTCATATGCTCGTGCATGTTTATACTTTATGTACTTCATTAACAGGGGTGTTCCTTATATAAATAAACTCATCATAGATGTCAACAAAACTCCTTCCGTAATTAGACTTGCGAACTCAATTGAATTAACCTTATCCTGCATTTCAACTGGTATTTTCCTGAGCTATGGCAAGCAAATACAGCGTGACCTCACGAGTCCATTACAATTATTTGACTTGAGATCACATACCGGATTTTGTTGAAGGTCGTGTTGCTTTGTATTCAGCTTTCTGTGCTGTGATTTGTGGACTGTTGTTTGTTATTTGATCTTTCGTTGGTTTTTCGTTGTTTTTCATGACGTTGCCAGTTTATTTTCGACTTATGAGTTTGAATATCCCTCTGATTATATGTGGCCTCAAATTGATGTAACACATGACCGAATACACTTTTTTCATCCCTGCCAATTTCAAGGATATAACGCCTACTAATTAAGTTGTATATAGGACTTATTTCTTCTTCCGTTTTCTTTTAATATGTCAAAAACATATTTTCAATGTTTGAGTGAGTACTCATATAATAACATTGGGATAATCAATGCATGTGAATAAATCGGTTAAAGACATAGCACTAACCAAAAAACTATGACATTTTTATTCAAAACAGAAGGCAATGTTTTAGTATCAGGCAAGGAACACTTCTCCGAAACAGTAATCTTCTTTTTGCCATAATCAATTAAAATATTTATAATTAAAGAAAATGCTCTCAGGCAGTATAGTAATAAAATTTGAATAATCCCTGATTTCATAGTAGTATACAGTTTAAAGAACTTGTTTTTGGTCTATTATTTATATGAATAGATGTACTTTCAAAATACGCTTCGTGACTGTTGTCTTTTGTTAAAGTGTATTTCTGTTCTGTTCCGTCGGTCTTTTAGTGAGAACGATATCATACAAAACAATATTTCTTTTTCTTTCAGCAAATAGAACAACAAAATAAAAGAATGAAAGAAATTGGTGAGTAACATGACAATAGTGTTAAAGGGGCATTAGCTACGAGATATGAAAAAATAGAATATGATTAAGTGTAGTTCAATCATTGATAAAAGCGAAATAATGAAATAATAATTCGCTTTTAGCAGCCTATTTGGTTCAATCTTGAAAGTGAATAATACGACCTCATTGGATACGTATTCGTGTGACCTTCAATTTAACCCACTAACTAGAGATTGGTTACACATGTCTTAGTCGTGTTCAGCCAGTAAAAGGAAAAGGATATCAACATAGAAAGTGAAACAAAGGTGAACCATTTCTTTGACTGATTCGATCCACATAAAAATCATTCTTATACAAGGAAAAACGATAATTAACTTAGTGCTTTAACCTATAAAATGAAATCAAACAGACATAGAAAAATCAAATTGCACGAGGTCGCTATCTATTTATATTTATGTTTATATTTATATCGGGTTATGTGATCGTCGGTATGTTAAACACATCCAAAATTATTTTTTTTAAATATCAAATAGGTACATGTATGTAAGGATTTTAAAAAGTGCTGCTGGTTAGTATAAAAAGTGGCTTGCAAGATATACAAACATTGAAAAGCAAATACACAGATCGTACAGATGTAGTTTCATTTACTCATGACAACCTTCCTTTTTGTAGTGTTTAAAAAGAATCGTATTTTATATAAAATAATGAATATACAATTCTGGTGCTTTCTATGAATAATTTATAACTAAACTATATCATCGAAGAATATTTTTTTTTTTTTATCTCATGATGAGTTTTCAGTAAGGGAGTGTGTTTTCTATTATTATAAATCTTGTATCAATCTGAACTGAGGCGACAATAGTTTACCAATGTTCAGGTCTCGTAAATCGATTAGAAAGAGGCAATGCAAGGAAACAAAAAAAAGCTAAAGGAATCGCATGAACTCCAAAAGGAGCGAAACCGAGTGCGTCGACATCAGCTATGAGTGCATCCCCCATGTGAATTTACAACCAGTCAAAATGTCACAATCGGGAATAGGATATAATCGATAAAATTATAGATCAGATGACTATACTTCTATATCTATAAATCAATTCGCGATAGTCAAACTGATTTAGCGTCGATTTCAATCCTTCTTCTTCATAACTATGTTTGAGCAGTTTTTGCATAAGGAGCACAACCCTATTAATGAAGTACGCAACGTGTGAAACATGCATGCGTGTAATGTATTAACTGTGGCATGTGAACGTCATTCGTTGGAACAGAAAGGATGTTACTGCTTCGAAATGGGAAGCTGACAATTAGAAAGTTGAAAGCATCACGTTTGTCATAGATTCTAGTTATAATTTGTCCATCTGTGTTACTTTCTGTAATATCCTTTATATCAGTTTACAAGGAGATATGAGATGTAAGCACCTATGAAAATGTGCATTATTGAACGACAGGACATCATCAGTATACTGAAAGTCTTTGAGAAGGTTCTGTTGAAATGAGCTTCCATTAATAAAAAAAAATCAAGGTCTAGCAGTTTGATGAAATAATCTTCAGTGTACTTTTGTCATAACAGAACAGTTATGTTGTTATTAAACATGTACCTCAGGGTATTCCTCAGTTTCTTACATTTCGAATGTTCATGCATTCAGTTAGCACGCAAGCATTTACATATCATATTGGAAACATGTAGCAATTCAAATAAGGAGTGTACCTATAGCATAGCCGTCACACTCGCCAGTACTTTAAAACTGGTATGAACATGAGGGGGTTCTATTGAAATTTACTATCATAAAGATTTGGAAATAGTTTTTAATTAAATGAATATTTATCTCTCATGCATATTTTTTTTATTATTTTTTTCCTTTTTTTGGTTTTGTTTGATTTCTATGTAATATCAGCTCTTGGACGAAAGGGCCTACGGAAAAATGTATTTGACACAATAGCTCAACGATAATGTTTGTAACAATAGTTAAAAGGACTTATTTAAGCATTTTTTATAATTTGTGTTTTGCTAAATAACTTTTGCCAGAGGATGATATCCAAAACAGTTTTATAAGCATAGCTGAAATGATAGGCCCAAATCATTGTGTATGACCTGGTATCTGATTCCTCACTGTAACTTTTATTTGTATTCTAAATCATAATAATGTTAACGATGTCCCAACAGTAACGTTTCAGTACCACTTAATTTGGTTTTCTTTACAGAAAAAAACATGGAACATTGCATGGACTTCTCTCGTGAAGTACAGGCATTCTCATTAGCAATGCAAGCTCAATTGTTGGAGATTGGTGATAGAAAGGTTTCTTTGTTAACAGAACAGAAAGAATGTATTCCTGAGAATATAAGAGGTATATAACTTTTTAAAAAAATGATTTTATTGTCTTGCTTACGACGAAAGTGTCAGAATGCGAGACATAGGGATCACAATCTGGCGTCATCGACCGCTGGGGTGGTGTAAACTCTTTGTATTAAGCTTTTTATTTCAGAGTGTAGAGGACCTAAAGGCTTCAAATTTTGAATACAGAGGCCTCATGTTACAAAGTTTGCGTCTGACATTAGTCCGTTGCCCTTGACCTCATTTTCATGGTTCAGCTACTGCTCGAATAAAACGTTTATTTTTTTTATGAATTTCTCACCTATTATGAGTAAACATGGTAAAGGGATAACTATATTTGGTATATACGTTCCTTATAAGGTCTAAATGTCCACAAGATAGTGCTTATCGGACCTCGACCTCATTTCATTCACCAGTGATCAAGGTTAAAGTTACATGATTAGGTCAGTTTATCGGATACTGCAAGCAGAAGCTCAACTAAATTTGGTGTATGGAATGATTAAAAAGTGTGCATATCAGTCTGGCAATAGCAATTGGTCTAATAAATTTGGTGTATGGAATGATTGTTAGGTGTACATGTCCAACTGCAGTTGTCATCTAACCTTGGCCTCATTTTCATGGTTCAGTGGTTAAAGTTAAGTTTTTGTGTTTTTGTCTTTTTTTCGCATACCATATGCAATGGGTCAACTATATTTGGTGTATGGAAATATTTTATGATGTACATGTCAGTCTGGCAGGTTTTATTTGACCTTGACCTCATTTTCACGGTTTATTGCTCAGTGTTAAGTTTTTATGTTTTGGTATTTTTTTCTTAAGGTGTATATGTCTGTTTAACATAGTTCATCTGACCTTGACCTCATTTTCATGGTTCATTGGTCAATGATAAATTTTTCTGGTTAAGTTTGTTTCTAAGAAACTACAAATGTATAAGCAATAATTCAACTATATTTGTTGTATGAATGATTGTAAGGTAAACATGTACTTCCGGTTTGGTTAATATGACCTTGACCTCATTTTCTTGGATCTTGTTAAGATTATATGATACTTGAAGTAAAGCTTCATATTTAAGACTTTCAATATAAAAGCAATGGTCAGTAAAGAAGGCGAGACATTTCAGCGTGTGCACTCTTGTTGTGTTTTTGTCTGCTTTTCTAATACTATATGCAATAGGACAAAATATATATGTGGTGTATGGACTATTTGTAAAGTGTACATGGCAGTCTGGCAGGTTTTATCTGACCTTGACCTCATTTTCATGGTTCACTGATCAATGTTAAGTTTTTGTGTTTTGTTATGTTTTTCTAATGCTATAAGCAATAGGTGAACTATATTTGTTGAAAGGAATATTGTAAGGTGTGAATGTCTATCTGGCTTGGTTAATCTGTCCTTTATCTTATTTTCATAAATCATTGATAATGTTCAGTTTATGTGATACTTGTAGTTAAATCATATTATAATGAATATCAACATAAAATATATCATGATTAGTAAAGCAGACGAGACATTTTAGCGTGTGCACTCTTGTTTCATACTTTAATTGTTTGATATTTTTTTTATACCACAAAGGTGCCTCGGTGGTCAGGTTGTGTAAGTAGTCGAGCTACTGTTTCTCTAACCTGTCAACGCTTAAGTTTTAAGTTTGAATCCCGCATCTGACAGGTGCGCTTGAATTCAATCTTAGTTGATCAGGACGCCAGTATTCCTATCGAAGGTCGGTGGTTCTCTCCGGTCATTCCGGCTTTCGCCACAAATATAAACTGTCCTTCACGAAATAGCACAATAGTGCTGAAATTGGCGTAAAAGATCAATCAATCAATCAATTCATAACCACATTTTTTTCATAAAACAATTGTTTGGATTGAAAATGCAGTTAAGATTTTGTTATCTTTTCCTTTGTTGACATTTCAAACTTTCTGAAATTCTATAGATAAAATATTGTTTCCATATATCCTATTTTACTTCATCGGTAAATTCTTAAAGCAGGTCAGAATTCGTTTAACCCTACCAGATATACACCTTCAGTCTTGTTTTAATTCATTTAATAACAAATCATTATTAGTACTGCTAAAAACAAAATTTAAATAAATTAGTACAATCTCATTCTGCTTACGTACCTTATCGAATAAGTTTTGAAAGGATCGATTTATTTACATGGATCGTATCTAATGTTGTTTGCTTTATAAACAGCATCATCGTAAAGATGAGGGTATGATATCTCGTTTTCTAGAGAAAACGTCAGGAAAATGGCAGTTATTTTTCACTTCTCCGTTGATTTTTAGCGCTTGATTTTGTCAGTTTTTATAAATTTTCCCTAAACGAATTTGCCATGGAGTTCATTGAAACTATAACGTCAATACAGACACGGCTATTTTCAAAGACTTGGTATATACAAACGTTAACACGGTAATCGGGCCAAGGGAAAACTAAAATGAGTCATAACCTTCCCTTTGTTGTATTGAGTTCCCCTTTGTATCTTAAGTATCTAGATCCAGGAAAGGACAGTTATTGCTGTGTATAGATAATTTAGTCATAATTAGATAGTTAAACGGATTTCTGTGTAGTTTAGATTGCCAATACATAGTACGGACATTCAAATGTTCCAAGGACACCTCAGAATAACTCATCAAAGATAACAGGATTATAAATGTATACATACATGTATCATACCTGATGTGTGGTAATCATCTGATTGTTTACCACTACGTACCGTACTGAAGCCAATTGGTTGAAATCTACTCTTTGTTTTGGTGAGGTTTGTTTTCTCAGTCCTTAGTTTTCTATGTTGTGTTTTGTGTACTGTTGTTTGTCTTATGATCGTTATTTGTTTTTGAAATGGCATTGTTAGTTTGTTTACGACTTATGAGTTTGAGTTTCCATTGGTATCATTAACTTCTACTTTTTGATTCTGTATGGAGGGCACGGACCTGACTGCTCATTCTTTAGAACTTCCGTGTAGTATGGGCTTTATACTGACACTACATTGTTGACTACTCTGTCGGCCGATACGAACACAAATCGATTTGCGAGTATCTAATAAATATAAGTTTGTGTTTAATGCTAGTCTTTATTTCATCTTAGAATATCATCGATTATTCACAATATAAATAATTTTATTCAAATACGAATCAAGTGATTTTCTTAATCTGATTTCTCACTTTTACACCAATTTTTACAATAGGTTGAAATCATCCCTTCGTAAATTTTACGGACGCCATCACGAGTTGGTTGACCGTTATGGAATAACCGTTTCATAGATGATATCGGATATGTTCCTTTTGTCGTAACTACAATACCCTTCCCTTTTCACGAATGTGACCTACCGAATTAGACTATTTATCGGATTTGGAGTAACATAAGCAACACGACGGGTGCAACATGTGGAGCAGGATCTGCTTACCCTTCTGGAGCAACTGAGATCACCCCAAGTTTGTGTTGGGGTTCGTGTAGCTAATTCTTTAGTTTTCTATGTTGTGTCATCTGTACTATTATTTGTCTGTTTGTCTTTTTTTTTTGGCCATGGCGTTGTCAGTTTGTTTTCGATCTATGAGTTTGACTGTCCCTCTAATATCGTTCGTCCCTCTTGAGAGAGTGTCTGTATTTACCTGACGACACTGTTCCCAACTAATTTTCTATTGGAGACGATATTTAGTCCTTATTTCAGAAATTTCGCTACCTCTTGGTCTTTCATAAGTTTGAAATAACGTTTTCATAACATAGCCATATGACTTGTATCTAAATTCGGTGTTTCACTGCTGCTGTTGAAAGAGAATTATTGTATATACTGAAGTCAGGTGTAACTAAAAAATAATTACAAATTAAACGTCTAATGGTTTTTATTGTATTTATACAAATTGATAGGTAGTTCTATGATCTCTAAATAGGGAGAAGCAAAGGTTTGATTTGAAGGGCATTCCAATTATTTGAAATATATACTAAAAGTCCAATCATTTGAAATATATATTAAAATCCTTTTTTAAGACATTGAAAATAAGAACATTCAGTAAAAAGTAAAATAACAAAAATACCGAACTCCAAGGGAAATTCAAAAGGGAGAGTCCTTTATAACATGACAAAATCAAAAGCAATAACACCTGCATCATGATTTGTTGACAATTTTATTTAGTAATATAGGTCAAAGTTCTTTGTAGGTATCTTTTTAACTCGTTTTGATTCTAGCGCCACTATTGATTCTTATGTAGATAAAATGGACGTTTAGATTATCAAATTAGAGGCCTGGGGTAATACATTGACACATTTGTTCACATTTTTTTGTAGCTCAACATGACCAATACCTCAAGGAGTGGATAAAGGACGATGCATTATTTGTAAATACCAGGGCAGCTAGATATACGCTATCATCTCTGCAATCCAATAATTGTCTTCTTGTAACTGGTAGCTCAGGGACAGGAAAATCATTCATTGTTCACCATATTGCGTTACATCTGTTTCAAAAGGACGGATATGAAATAATACCGTTTGTAACCGGACCATCAGACATAATACACTATTATGATCCTAAAAGGAAACAGGTATTTGTTGTTGACGATATATGTGGTAAAGAATCTATAAACATACAGATGATTGAGCTTTGGAAATCTTACTATTCAAATTTAGAAAAAATATTTTTACCAAGTAGTAAAAACTCACGAAGCAAAGGTGTATTTCAAGGTACAAAATTGTTAATTTCGTGCAGACTTCTTATCGCTAAGGATAAACAATTTCGAAACATCGAGCTGTTCACAAGAAATGAATGTAACTTGCTATCGTCTAATATGTGTCTCTTGCCACAGGAAAGATTGCAAATGATACAGCAATATCTCCCGGAAGAAATGATCCATTACGTCAAAAGTATGTTGGAAAATTATGATTTCTTTCCTCTTCTGTGTTGTCTTTCTAAAAACAAGACGTCTGAGGAACTTGTTAAGCTATTTTCATCTCCGATCGAAATTATCAAAAGTGATGTAAATAACATACATTTGCAAAATAAATTCCAGTTCTGCGCATTGGTTCTATGTGTATTGTTCAGGGAAGGTTTTAGCGAAAAGTGGGTACAATCAAAATCGATGCCCGAAGAAAATAAATTTAAGATCTATGAAATAATAAAACAACTGAGTATAGACTTAACTATTGAATCGTCAAGGAAGTCTTTAGTTGAAGGGTTTACAATCTTGGAAGGTACATATTTGAAAAAAAGAGGTACAAGCTATAGAATTATTCATGATAAAGTATACACTTTTATATCAGTAATTTGTGGTAAGCATTTGACAAGTTGTTTCTTGAGATATGCTCCTAGCTCATTTGTGCGTGATTATTTCCTATTTACATGTTGTCATACAAAGCATACAGACATTTTCATCTTACTCGATGAAGACATGGAGGGAGAATATTTTAACAGACTGTATGATGATTTAAAGAATAGAAATTTGGACAGTACATTTCATAACAAACTTTTGAAATATACATCATTCAGAAATAAGTTATTAGAATATTTGAGGCAAAATGAAGAAGCAATGGGTTTGTTGAAAGATATGAATAGAAACGGTTTTGAAGTAGCCAAAGCAAGCCTAATTAAATATAATTATTTTCGGAATTTTACAAACCCGATGATAGAAGCAGCAGCAAAAGGTTTCCCAGATATATTAAAATTCTTAATAGATATAGAATTTGGTGAGGACTATATAGACACAAGTATATACATTTTATATGCAGCATGTCGCGCAGGGAATGTTAACATTGTCAAACTTTTATTAAATGACAACACTGATATACGGTTTGCATGTACAAGTGTTATCGCATTGGATCCGACGGTTGGCCTCCCACTGCTGCTTGTGTCTTGTATAGAAGGTCACACGACTGTAGTTAAACTTTTACTCGATGGCATAGCTGATCTTATTCAGTGTATTCAAAGAGGCGAGGAGTCCCGTGTACACAGTGCTAATGAAGTTGGATATACAGACCTAGATAATTTATTCTACATGTCTCAAGGTATTGATTTACCCGAGTTTTGCATGCATGGAAAATCGCCAATATATATGGCATGTTATAAAGGACATTTTGACATAGTGAAAGTACTACTTGATAATGATGCTCATACTTCAATTCTGTGTGACAGGTTATTGTTTGCGAAGGCTTGCAAGGACGGATATGCAAAGATACTGAAACTTTTAATAAAGAATTATAAACCAACTATTAATCTCGATGGAAATACACTTTTGGTAGAAGCTTGCATGAGAGGGCATACTGAAATAGTGGAAGTTTTATTAGACAATTACACTGATGAATTTCAATATGAATTTAATCGTAGACTACCGTTACTCATAGCTTGTCAGAAAGGACACTCAGACATAGTTAGATTGCTATTGAGGTACAGTGGTTATGGTTCTCGATGTCATTCAGATGGACGTGCAGCACGTGCACTGCTAATTGCCAGCGAAATGGAATACGAAGATATAGAGAAAATGGTATCTGAATATAACTCGCATGCAAAATTATATGGATATTCAAATTTATGTATTGCCGGTTATATAGAAGAAGAAAACAAGTTATCATTCAAAATCAAAATTGGCTTTTACAGCAAGTATGCAAAATTACTATTACAAATGGCATGTTATCTTGGACATCTAGGAACAGTAAGAGTCTTACTTGAGAACAGTTTTAACGTAAATCAATGTAACAGTTATGGGGTATCATCTTTGTACGCTGCATGCGTGAAAGGACATACGAATATAGTTTATCTATTATTGGAAGAAAATGCTGATGTTTTCAGATGTGATAAATTTGGAAAATCCCCACTATTTGTAGCCTGTGAGAACGGACATGTTGATACTGTAAAACTGTTACTTGAACATAATGCTGAACTTTCTCCATGTGGGAAGAGTAAAAAGTCGCCATTTTTTGTGGCTTGTGAAAAAGGACATGCAGATATTGTCCATATTCTAATGACAACCAACAGAAACATCCATCAGAGTGACAGATTTGGGCGATCGCCATTGTATATTGCATGTAAAGAGGGACATGCTAAAATAGTGAATATCTTATTATCAAACAATTCAATTCTTTCTTTCCATAATAGGTACGGAAAATCCCCAATGTGCGTTGCTTGTGAAAATGGACATTTGCATATAGTAAACCTTTTGCTGAAAAAAAATATTGATTTCTCTCATTGTGTTTCTGGGGAGTTCTCATTAATAATAACAGCTCTTGGAAGAGGGCACGTAGATATAGCAAACATGTTGGTGCAGAATAAAGAAGGTCAATGTCAGTGTGATTGGTTTAATCGAACGCAATGTCTTGCTGTTTGTGAAAAGCAAAATATAAAAATTTTGAAATTATTGGAAGAGTTCAGCAGGAAAAATTCAATGCTATGTGCTGATGATACTGATGTAGAAGAAATATATTTATACACACATCCAGATGGACCACATAATTTATTGCGTGTCTGTATACCTCGTCAGCGTTTATATACCGATATAGTCAATCTCTTTATCGAAATTAAAACGAAAACTTGAACAACAATCAAAGTAATAAAAAATAAATGCTTATTAAAACAAAACTATAAATGAAAAATAACTGAAATCTTATATTATCGTACGTTTCTTCATCTCCATCACCTTACTCAGTCGTTCAATAAATCACGTTTCATAGATTGGAACAGAACATATAAGCGAGGACAAAATACGAAAGTAGAACATATCAAACGTACTTCGGGTAGTACAACCATGAGTTAAAATTTAAAAACAATAATTAGTACAATAAATACATAACAAGACAATGTTATCTTTTATTTTTTCTTGAAGACGGTAGGTTATATATAGCTTCTACTACTGCGTCCATTGGGATACGATATTAATCCACTCGAGACAGTAAAATTTCAAAATTAAAATCGCGAGTCTCGGCGATCGTTTTTAAAATTTAAAACTTAACTGTCGGGAGTGGAAAAATATCGTATTGCACGAGATTCGAATTCGGTGCATTTATCTGTTTCTCTAATAATTTTTAGACAATATACAGACAATCTCTATCTATCTTTTCGAATCATCTGTAAAAAGATGTGTTCTTTTCATGTGACGTCATCAGGCATGGTCGCATTTTTTCGTGACGTCACAATAGGAAATTCAGAGGAAAGTAAGAAAATTTGACGTCATAAGTTGATTAGCTAAAAATGATCAACAGCTTAGGAAAGGGATAAATCAGTTAAGAACTAGAGAAATGTTATCATATATGAATGATACCGATATGATAATTATTGTAATATAATTTTGTGTACAGCCTCATTGAGGTTATCCTCTTTTAATAAAGATTATTCAAATATATATATATATGTTTTATTTATCTATCATTTCTTTGCTATAGTTTACATTATTGTTTAGTTAATTACAATGGCCGCTTTTGTTTACATTTATGTTCTTTGGTATTTAGTGGATGTTTGTCTCTATGGCAATGATACGAAATCTCCTTATTCATTTCCTTATTGTTTTGTTCATTTATTTTCCATTTTATATTATTATCATTGTTATGTGATTTACAATCTACAAATACTTGAAAGTGATTGGATCGTTGGATTATTTCCCTGATTACCATTTCGATAGACAAATTGAGAACTAGGTAACAACCCTGCAGTTATGAGAAGGAATGATATAGAGGCTACAGAAGGGTATCTATGTTCCAAAAACCGTAATGCAACAGATTTTGGTTAATTAAGGCACAGATAGTTACCGATGTTCAATTTTCATAAATCGATGTAAATGTAACAAACAAAAAACAGAGGCAAATATTGCATGCATGTTCAGGACGACAACAATTGACCATCAATACAATAGGCAGGTCCTGTAATAGAAAACATCCGGGATAAATATCATGAAACATTTAACTGCCACTGGCAAATGATGGTATTTTGAATAGGCACATAATTATCAACAGGCCATCTATGGAATCCACAAAGAGTTGTTGCATGGGTTCCTAACTTGCAGAGACCGTGGCACTCTCTTTATGTGTAATACCACCATTGATTTTCCCCTATTAGTCTTTGATAAATTTGCACTTTTCAAAAAATTGTGCAGAAATTATCTTTGTTTCAAATACAGAAATACTTGGCATGAGTAAAGTTATATCCTGTCCAGTACTATAGAAAAAATTTCACATAACATTTCATTGCATATAAGAAAATAACCATCACTGGAAGTTAACCAATCAAATTTCCCCCTTTTATTAACCTGTGTACAAGCTTTAGTAACCATGTAACCTCAATTTCCAAAATACTCTAAAGAAACCCAAAATAAAAAAATAATGGTGCTTTTAAATACCCAAGATATATGTTTATGACCCAGAAATGTTTTACTGCAATGAAATGTAGGATTAATTACCTACAACTGTCAAATTCAAGGAAATATTTTTTTCGACCTATTTTCATATGCAACCGGATGTGACGTACTATGATTTTGTGGTATTACACCTTTACACGAGAAATCGGATCCATCGTTCTCATTATGACCGGAAATGGTTGCGTACTTGTACATCCGACACAGCTAAATGTACGTCCCACTTTGAGTTTGACTGCCGCTTGAAAAAGACCTGTGTGACCATATTTCGAATCCTTGGTCACCTTTTAGGTTAAGCGCCTCCTGCTATACATCCATCACCAACCGTGTGAATCAACATTCAGTGAACATGTCATAATTGATCGAATTAGACAACCATTATAGTGTATAAAGATATAAAATTGTGAAATCATGTCACTCACTATTGAGTTAAGGTATCGATATGTTGTATACTTCAAGAGTAAATTAAGAAATAAACTGTCCAGCGTCAATTTACAGAATCCCTTCAAAAATGAAAAAAACATTTTTAAATGTTATGTGTCCGTAGCGCAATAATATACATCTTTCATTAAGAACGCTCAAAACAAAATATTTGAAAGCCAATGATGTAAAAGAAGCGAAACAGGTAAAACAAAAGTTACCAAAAAAAAAAATAGCCAAATCCATCTAAGTTTTTGTTCACACAAATTTAAAAACCGATAGTAACTCACTAAATCAAATGAAATTTAAGACAGTTATTCAAATTTTAACTGTCGAATTTTAACTTAAAATGTCATAAAATATTTTGCTTATGTTATTGAATTATTTCAAATAAATAAACTTAAAAAATCTAATTTCTCAAAAAAGAAAAAAAACAGATTTCAATAAACTTTTTTCTATGCCACAATATAAAGGATTGAGCGGTTGTTGATGTATAAACTCACAAACTGTATAAAAGTCCAAAATTAATTCAGTTTGTTAGTTAATCGGCCCAGTTTACTCATATATAGCAATAATCCTAAAACAAAATATGTGCTATCTTATAATAATTGCGTATAGACAACATAAATTTGATATCTGAGATCTGAGAAAAAAATGTACATACAATCGTATTTTCAACGATGAGGATAAATCCATATATATACAAGTTTGAGCTTCCTAAAAAGCTGTGGACTGCTTCGCTATATACTAATTTAAGGTAATATGTGTGCATGTGGTTGTTGATTTAGTATTGGAAATGTGGTATTCTAAGATATTGATTGATATAAAATGAATGTCTAAGACTTGGAATATCAATTTTTGTATATATATTAAGATGATTTTTCTGAAATTTTAAACTGGCTGTTCAGTGTTTAGTTGTCAATGTGTTTTTGTGGAGTGTGGTTTTCTAGTTCTTTCAGCTGGTCATTGACTTGCGATTTTGATTGCTAGTTCTGTATATGATTTATTTAGATATATATGAATGTTTAGGTATGTTGATTAAGAGTAACATGATTTCGAGTGATGAAGACAATAACAATCAAAACCAAGGTATTTACAAATAGACACGATTCTGGAGGTGTGCCTCACTGCAGGTGTGCCTAGATTGGCAGAAGTTATAAAATACAGATAGTGCATTTTTGTAAACATTGTATAGGAACATTGTTTAGCAAAACAAATCGTGCATATTTCAGATTAACAAAGCAAATAAACACGTATTAACAATTGATATTTCAATATTGAATTTCAGTGTGAAATATATGCATAATAAAACGAACATGAATTAATGACAGTTGATCAGAACTGAAATACATATAGTTATTTTTCCGGCATTTGATGTCTTATCCTGAGACGAGTAAGGTCTGTAATTCTTTATCTCATTTAAGCCAATAGCTGTTGCTGTGTCTCAGCCGCATCATAAAGCAACCAATCAGAATCTATATGTAAGTAATTATTTCAAGATGGCGTGTATATCGATTGAAACTAATAGCTCCGCACCGTGATGCGAAGCAAAAACTATAAAACGTGTCTGTATAACAGAATGTTAAAAAACAGAGAAACTTATAAGGGACGTCAAAATACGAAAGTAGAACATATCAAACGTACTTCTGGTAGTACAACCATGAGTTAAAATTTTAAAACAACAATTGGCACTATAAACTCATTATCAAGTGAAAGGTTTAGCTAGCTATAAAACCAGATTTAATCCACCATTTTCTACATAAGAAATGCCTTTACCAAGTCAGAATATGAAAGCAGTTTTCCATTCGTTTGGTGTGTTTGAGCTTTTGATTTTGACATTTGATAATTGACTTTCCGTTTTGAATTTTCCTTGGAGTTCGGTATTTTTGTTATTTTACTTTAATCAATGACTTGGTATACACTGCACAATAAAAAATCAGTTAACGCAGACAGTGATTAAAAACAAACACTGGCGTACGACAACCACATAGCGAACATGTTTGTGAACGCCCAATCCTCCTCTTTACCTGGGAAAATGATATAACAACACAACAGCAAAACTGTAAAATTGGTTGGATATAGGCTTGTCTCGTTAGATCGACAAAACCCAAATAACAGAAAATTATTTATAATAAATGGTCTTACATGTATCATATACTTAAAGTAAATAACTTATAAGTTTTACAGTATGATAATAGCATTAAATTTACGTAATATTTTCCGAAATGGTGCTTAGCGGTCTGATATGAAAAATTTATCAACTACTTCCGGCTATTATCGCATGCCTTTCCGTAACGTTATCACATGGCATTCCGGCGTTACTCGGCAAATCCCGAAAAATACATCTCAATGGTACGTTTTCAGTGAAAAACATAACAATGTAGGATACAAAACAAATATTAGGAAACAGGAAAATATATTATGTAAAATTGAAAATGTAAATGGGGAATTTGTCAAAGAGACAACACCCCGACCAAAGAGCAGAAAACACCACAAGGCCACCAAAGGGTCTTCAACACAGCGAGAAAATCCCGCACCCGGAGGGGGGCTTCAACTGGCCCCTAAACAAAAATGTGTACTAGTTCAGTGAAAACGGACGTCACACTAAACTCCGAAACATATAAATGAACTAAAATCAAAAAAACATATAAGACTAACAAAGGCCAGAGGCTCCTGACTTGGGACAGGCGCAAAAATGCAGCGGGGTTAAACATGTTTTGTGAGATTTCAACCCTCCCTGTATACCTTTAGCCAATGAAAGAAGTCCGAGTCCGAGGTCAGAATAGGTAACAGAAGAGATTAGGCAAAATGACAATGATACATAAATTAACAAAGGACTACTATCAGTTACTGACATCCCAGCTCCAAACCTCATTTAAACTGATTGAAAGATTATGTCTTCATCATATGAAAGTCAAGCACAATTCCTCCCATTAGAGTTTAAGTATCATACCATCATAAAATATATGAGAAGAACATAACAAGTATCATGCCAACAGCTGGTTTTAGATTGATTGATTGTTGGTTGCTTAACGTCCAGTGGCAAATATTTCATGCATGTTCAGGACGACTGGTTTTAGAATACATGTGTTTCCGATGCAAAGACCCTATAAGTGAATCAATATTAATTCCAAAATATGCCATCTTTAACGACCTGACAACAGTATCGTAACTATATCCCTTCTGAATAAGTTTTTTAAAGGTTTGGTTAGCTTTTGAGGTGAATGACGAACGTATAAGATGTCTGCATCTTGATTTATATTTTCGAATGATGTCCTTGTACCGATGATAAAATTTAGTAAATGTTTTGACTAGTTTGTGATATCGAAAACCCAGGTAATTTTTCAGTAATACGAAGATTTCTTTCGTTAAAATCAAATACGTTGTTACATACACGAGCGAATCGAACAAGTTGAGGTATATAAACAACATGAGATTATGACAAGGGAACGTCACCATCTAAAAATGGATAATTAACAATAGGAAATGAAAAATCGTCTCTTTTATCATAATTTTTGGTATTAAGCTTCCCGTTAAAGATATAGATATCAAGATCCAGGAAAGGA